ATTATTATAANATANATATATATATATATATATATATATATATATATATATATATATATATAGAGTGATTTGTAAATATACCTCAAGAATGAATTTACGCGGTGAAATAAGTGAAAAAACGCGTTGTGCAAACGCGTGTGTCCCACATACCTTCGGATTTCGGGTCACGGATGATTAAAGAAAATGTTCTCGCCACCGCGATGGTCTCGATTCGTCGTTAAATTTTTACTCTCCTCGCGTTTAAAGGTGTAGAATATCCTCTGCAAAGGAAAGGAAAGAAAGAGATATAAATTTGAGAAATTGGAAAAGTGAAGTGAAAAGGATTAAACGCGCGATCTTCCTTATATTATTCTCTTTAATTAGAAAATAAGAGGCGGACGAAACTACTCGTTTCTCCTCCTCGAGTACGAATTAATCACTGTGCACCGTGGATCACGAATCAAACGATCGTTTCTCTACGATCAACATCATCTCCCCTCGCGTCGCGTTGTCGTGATTCCTCAGGTGCTCCCATCCCTTCCCGCGTGATGGTCGCGATGCTACAGGCGCATCGACATAACGAGTGATCCGTGATCGAGGATCGCGCGACGCGATTCGCAACAGACATGCGTGGAACTCGTGGAGTTTTCTTTTTTTTTTTTTTCGTTTTCGAAAAGCGTGGGGTTCTCGATCGAAGAAAAAGATCGTCGAAGATTTTTTTTTCGGTGGAGGAAGAGGACGAGAACGAGAGGGAGCGCGCGAAATTGGCACTACGGACGATCGTTCGGAAGGAAAAACGATCCTCTAGGAGGAGTTATTTTAATAATGAGGGTAGACCGCCGCTTTGTACCGGCTCTCTTTTCTTTTTCTCCTTGCCCGCGCCGACGTGAAGCGTGTGAGCATCGTGCACGCGCGATTATTTCTCGCCTCTTGCGTGCAACAATAGGCCACATCCGGAGGGGATCGATTAATTGATTTCTGTTATATAAAAAAGCGAGGCTCGTCCTACGAGGTGTTCCACATCCTCGATCATCATCATCTCCTCTCGTTCCTATCGTACGATCGTTGACATCGATGGCAATGTAAATTCTAATAAATTCAAGGAAGCCTAGTTTTCGTTGGCTGGAAAGCGAGTGACCGACATCGCGTGTGCAGCATCAAAAATGCAGCTCTATATATATATATATATATATACATATACACACGTGGTAGGTATAGTCGTGTCTCTTCCTCGATCAATCGTTCGAGATCCACCGTTTCGATTCAAACAACAACGGTTGTATTCTTTTATCGGTTTTTCTTCTTTTTTTTTCCCTGTTATCTGTAATATATCGAGATCCTCTCGATTTCTTCCTTTTCTTCCAACGAAATCGCTTTCGACGAAATCAAACTTCCCCGAATTTCGTTACACGTGGAACGATATGCTCGGATGAACAGGGAAGGTACACGTAATTATTGATATTTCTCCTTACGCGTTCATTCAACATTGACTCATCCGAACACGTAAGCTTCTCCCACGTACGAATTAGTAATCGTGCAAATCTGAATGGAACACTCACCCCGTGATAATCTCTATTCGCGATTATAGTCTTGTTTCCCTTCGATTCGTTCGCGAATTGTAAAAACAAACGAGCGTCGATAAAATTTTCCACGTATCTCGATTCGGCGAGAAAATTCTATTTCCAAGTATCGTTAATTTTTACGATACACCACGATGATCGAATCATATCGAATCATCCCTCGAACCAACTGTATCCCCTTCTCCTCTAAAAAAAACCTGTCATCACCGCGCACGAAACGATCGAAAGAAAGGGACGAAAAGAAGGAGAGAGAAAGATACTTGCATCGAGATCGAATCAGGGCCCCGTCAAATCGTCGCCGATTTTCCGCGAGTGGCGGCGGCGCGAGAAACTCCTACTATTTATAAACGGTTTGAACCCGGTCGCATTGGCGAACCTGTGCGGCCCGCTCGAGCTGCCGCCTCGTGGGGAACAATTCGCCACCCCATGGTAAAAATAGAAGCTCCTAGCCAGCTAGCCGAGAAGCTCGAGGCTAGAGCTCGAGGCGGCCGCTCTAGCGTCGTCGGCCGGTGAATCCGTGTCCAGCCAGGCCCGGTCCACGCGGTTCACCCCTCGCGATGACGAGCTTCGTCGTCTTCGTCGTTTTACATTTTCCAGCTAGCAATACCTTTCGCTCCGTTCTTTCTACCCTCCTCGAGAAAGAAGTAGTTTTCATATCCTCTAGGATAGGATGATAGGCTAGAGAGAATCGGTGTGCAATAGACTCGTCACGAAGTCTAGTGCAATATTTTAAGACCGCATGTAGGAAGAAGAAGGCGGGCTGATTCACGCTGGTTCGTAGGAGGACCAGGGAAACAGGGAGAATACCGGTGTTCCTTCTTCTTTTTCCTCTTCCTCTTCTTCCTCTTCTTCTTCTTCTTCTTCTTCTTCTTCTTCTTCTCCTCGTCGATGGAGACGCCGAGCGGGGGAAGGCTAGAGGAAGCGAGCGTTGCGCGCTCCTCTATCGGACGAGCTTTCGCGCGTTCGTTTCGACGACTGGCCGAGGAGGAACGAGGCGCAAGCACAGGGCCGGGTGGATAGAGGCGGAGGGAGAGAGGGACGGAGACAGACTGCGCGGCGGAGGGAGATGGAGCGAGAGAGGGCCACATTCCGAGCGGATCACGGATGCTTATAGAAGCGTTGCGTAACGGCGTCAGACGGACGGCGAAACCGCGGCTGCTGTTCTGCCCGTCGACAACTTTCGGGACAAGTTCGACGAGTTTCGAAAAGTTTCCTCTCGCCCCGGCGCCCAGCTCGCTGCACAGTGCGTTTCAGCCTCGCGATCGGAGTGTGGTGGCGCGTGGTGTCGTGCACCCAGTTCTTCTCGTCCCATCCATCGATCCATCCATCGATCGCGCCGCATCCTTCCGACCGCGGAGAGGAGGAGAGGAGAATCGTGTCCCTCGTTTCCTCCTCCTCCTCCGAGAAAAACCAGCTGCTGCTTCGGTTTAAGGGGAAAAACGGTGCGCGCGAGTATATAAAAGTCGATTCTTCTCGAGCTCGAATCGACCTCGACGTTCGAGGTATAAAAGTGAGAGGAGCGATCGAGCGAGTGAGCGAGAGAGAGAGAGAGAGAGAGAGAGAGAAGGAGAAGTGAGAGAAGTGAGAGGGAGAAGGAAGCGAAAATTATCGACGAGTCGTTATCGTCGAGTGGTGATAGCGATGATGATGATGGTGGTGATGGTGGTGGTGGTGATGGTGGTGGTGACGGTGGTAGTGGTGGTGGTGGAATAGCGAGCAGATAGTGTGCGGTATCGGGAAGATCTCTACCGGGTGTATCGATTTCTTCTGCCCCCCTCTTCCCTCCCCCCTCCCCCCGAGTTTAGCAGTGTTTCAAGGCCACGGGGGGGAAGCAGCCGCTCGAAAGCGGTTTCGCAGGGGGTGGCGAGGGAGGAGGAGTGACGCCGCCGATCCGCGGATCTTGCTCCGGCTCGAGATCTCGCCGCTGATGACGAGATGATGTTTCTCTCTCTCGGCTCTGTCCCCCGTCACTGTCCGACCAACGCCGACTAAAATTAACCCGTGTCGAATCCTAGAGCGTTCTCGTCTAGCCTCGGTTCGGGCTGAATCCCCCCTATTTATAGATCGTACACAAAGAAGAAGAAGAAGAAGAAGAAGAAGAAGAAGAAGAAGAGGAGGAGGAGGAGGAGAAGGAGGAGGAAAAACCGTATCCTTGACATCCAAAATCGTCGATCGGTGAAATCGATATTTCAAACGGCGAGCCCCTCGACCCCCTCCCTCTCTCTCTCTCTCTCTCTCTCCTCTCCT